GTCTATATGCCTTGTTTAAAGTGTTTTTCATGTCTATGAAGATAAAGATACATTTTTGACTTTTTAAAAATGGAAATCCAAACATTTCCTGAATTCTGGGATGTTAAGCTAACAAAGGGGACACGATTCTACAAGTTGACCAAACAAAACCTGACTTGTTCCCTTTCATTCTTAGGGGCTGGACCTGTTCCAGATCTATTCCAGCTGCAAAGTTTCTTTAAAAACTGTTTGTTGGCTCCCATAAAACTTATATGTAAATAATGTCTCTTGGGCTTATCAAGATCAAGGCCATCCTTCTAACAAGGACAGATAGTATATTTGTCACAGCCTTGAAAAAAGCCTGAGGCAGATCACGTGAGGCACAATTCTGTCAATATACATATCACACTTTTGTCAGAAATGCAAAATATATATTTTGCAGTATTTCTCTCAAATAACTAAACTAGAGTTAAAGAGGACATCAAACCATAATCTCACCATCTTCCAACTACTTAAGCATGAATAGCGTCTAGCTTACTGGCTTGCATGAAGTGCCTCCTGTCCTTGATTTTATGCACTTCCGTATAGTTTCCACTTGTGCCCTTTGGTTTATGTTTCATTTTGATCTAGGCTGCTTTTGGCAACAGTTTCACTTTTAATTTTCAAGACAAACCTTATATTGCCTTTGTAAGTGAATTTGAGGATTTTGAATACTTGCGTCAGGACCCCTCAAAGACCTCCACCTGTTCATCGGCAGTATGCTGGTAATAGGCTTATTGTCTTTAAAGAGAAAACAGCTCACTGGCAACAGGCATCTTATGACTCTTCTTGATTAGTCTGTATCGTTTTGCAAACTGTACCCTATACTCATTATTGGGGATCCACTTGGAGCCATAATTTGTCTTTATTCAGTCAGATTTTCCATGGGACCTATTTTAAATAAAAGCACTTTAATCTCTGCAGATACTGTAACAAACCTTCCCGGGTTATGTGTCATGGGTATCTTCAGTGCCATCTGAAAATATTCACACCCACACACACACGAACAATTGCAGGTATTGTTGTTACAACCTGAATTTTTAAAGCACTGAAATATTTGTTCCCTTAGTACAACTTGCACAACAATGTAAAAGGGGCAAAATTACTTTTATTTTATAACAACAATTTCTAAACATGAAAAAATGAAATATCTTGTTTACTAAAGTATTCACCCCCTGAGTCAGTACTTTGTAGAAACACCTTGTGCAGCAATTACATCTTCAGGTTGTCTTGGGTATATCTGTATTAGGTTTTCACATTTGGATTTGGGAATTTTTCGGATTTTTGCAGGTTCTCTGTCAAGTTGTATGGGGAACTATCAGCGAGCTATATTCTTCAACATCTTTCACATATTCTCAATGAGATTCAAGTCTGAGCCACTCAAAATGTTTGCCTGCCTGTTCTGAAACCACTACAGTGTCTATTTGGCTTAGCATCATTGTCCTGTTGAAATGCAAATACTTTCCTCAGTCTAAGGTCTTTCATTGACTGAAGTAGGATCTTCTCAAAGACTTGCCTGCATTTGGTTCTATTCATCGTTCCCTCTATCCAGACATATTCCCCAGTGCCTGCTATTCAAATGCATCACTACGATAAACACCATGCTTCATGGTAGGCAGGATGTTGCACAGGTGATGAGCTTGTGTTCAGTTTGTGCTAGACCATAGCAATTTGCAGAGTTCAGTTTTTGTCTTTTTAGACCAGAGGATCTTTTTCCACATCGTTTTGAGGTCTGCCACGTGCTTTCTTTGAAACTCTGTCTGTTTAAATCTACAAAGATTGTTGTCCTTGTACAGGTCCTCCAATCTCAGCCATAGAACTATGTAGTTCTGTCATCCTCATAATTCCATCATGGAGAGGCAGTTCCATGATCTTCATGGTAGAGTTTGTGCTCTCATACACTGTCTAGGAACTTGGACAGGAATATTTCTTCTGAACTGAACCAATTGAACGGACCACAGGTGGATTCCATTCAAGTTTTAGAGTGGTCTCATAAGAAAAGTAGATGCACCTAGACTCAATTTGGAATGTCATAGCAAAAGGGCTGAATATCTTTGAGACATTCCAGCATTTGTGTTTAAATAACAGGTAAAATAATTACTAGAACTTTCAATCCACTTTAACATTACACAGAAAATTGTTCAATTTCTACACAAACATACTTCTTGCATTTGTTATGTATTATGTATATGTATGTGTTATGTTAGAATTCGCAACATAATAAATTGTGAATTACTTCACAATTCACAATGTTGTGTTTCTCTGTTTTTCAGAGTGGAATTAAATGTTACTTGTTTTAATGTATACCATGCAGAAAAAGACACATTCATTTGGCTAAAAAATAAGCACAGTCTTTTTTTCATAAGACAGCTGTATTGGATCCCATTTTCTTTATGAATGTAAATAACTATTGATACAATATTGATTAATACGTGTCCTAGGCATATTTAATTATTGTATCTGTGATGGTGAACATACTATTGTAATATAGACAGATCTAAGTTAAATTGAATAAGCATCATACCCATATCATGTTGGGGACTGCTTAGCACTCTGATGTATATATTATACATAAAACGTATCGTTAATTCTAAAAATAAAATATCTCACAAGAGAAGAAAATGACTATTATTTATCCTGTTTTTGTTTAAAGGCACAAGTAGCAAAATTGTTGCTTTCCATTAATGGGGAACAAATATGTACTGTAATTTCAAGCATGGTTTGGTGAGCACTACATACTTTTCTTTTGGTATGTCTAAAACCACCCTATTTAGAAACTATGCTGATTCTGGCAAGACCCAAAGAACAATTTCTGAGCCTTTCTTTTGCAATAGATCAAAAAAGCAAATCAAAAAAGCCTTAAAAGGACAGCTTGGGTAGATTACTGAGATACCAGCCTGGAGAAAGAAGTGTGTCTTCATAATCCATGTAATAAATCATGAGGTAACACAGGAAAATATTACTGAAAAATACCATAGCAAAACAGAAAGGTCTTGGACTCATTTCAGTTCTTTTCTTAGCTATTGAATCTCAGGCGACAAGTAAAACTAAAACTTAAAAGTGAGCTGAATGTGTAGATCGGTTATGTATTCCAAGGTGGAACCACCTTGTGATGTTGTGCTAAGAGGATAGAGGTTGATAAGTTCCAATTATTGTTTTACTTAAACTGAAAGAGAGATTTTTTTTTGTTTTATCCTAAGACTTTAAAGTCTCCTTTTGGGGATATTTACTGAAAAGTAAAGGATTAAAATAACAGCATTACGTAATCAACAGTGTTAACAGCTTCTGTCAACAATCTGAGCAATTCTGGACCCAGTTTGTGCTGGGACTGGAGACCTCTAGGGAAAACCATGTAACTGCTGCAAGTGGTGATGGGTTACCAGTAGGCAGTACTCTCCCCTCTGGTCCAGAGTGGCCCCAACACATTAACACCCCACTGTAGTGATCAGGGACAATGTTCTCTAGGAAGTACAGTACTGTTTCGGATAAGAGGCTGTACTGAGCTCCTGGCTACATAGTCATTAAAGATCCCAGGGCCCTTTTTAAAAGAGTAATGGCACTAACCTCAGTGGCCTAGTTAAGTTCTGGAATTGAACCATCTGGCCTCTCTGAGATTCAACTGGTGAAGCAATCAGTTGGGTTTTTTTAGTTACATGATCTACTGTGTAGAGGAGCACAAAATAGCTACTTTGTGTCAACCAAGAGGGTAATACTTTTATAGGTCTATTAAGTGGGTCCCCTACTACATTTAAAACAGTTAGGGATTCTTTGAAAATCACCATGTAAATGCAGTTATTGTTACTAAACTTAAAGAAAGACGTGTTGTTTTCAAGATTCTTCACAGGTGAGAGTTACCAAACAAGTAGTATCCTGCAAATACCTTGTTAATTGAGTGAGTCATCAAAATTTAGCATTCTGTAGACACGTCATAAGACAATGATCTAGGAAAAAAAACTATGCTATTCTTGAAAAACAAATTATTTTTAATTCCACTGACTTCCTTTTACTATTTATAAGTACATTCTTGAACAATTGACTTCTACTCTTGAAATTCACTGCAAGAAACGGTAGGCCTTGTCAGTACTGGGAAACATCCCATATTGATGGGGATTACTGCAAATGGTGCTGGTGGATCAGTAGGTGACGGTCTTTCTTCTGTTCCAAACCAATGCTCCAGTGTGGTGTCTAGGGACATTGTGCTGAAGGGGATGCTGTATTTTGATTTTGAAGTTAAAGTCATGAGTGCCTGATCGTTAAAAATCCTACACTGCCTTCTGAAAGTGTAAGGGTAATGCCCTGTTTAAACTCTGTGTAGTGGGACTGCAAATAACTGCTCTTGTGCATCACTCAGGTGGGTACTGCAATTAATTGGTGGACTAAATATCTGTCATAATTAATGTACTCTATGGGCTATCTCAATCTCCTCAACCCAATTACACATTGTTGGTTAGATCACAGGGGGGCAATGGACACACAGAAATGGGTCTGAAAACTGTGAGCAGCTCTTTCTGGAACAATGGTCAAATATCACCCTCAGAAGTGACCAAACTTCATAACACTACATGAAGCATCATGTCACTGTAATACATACTCCATTCATGAGCAATTACAAAACATTAACCACAGAGGTGTGAATGAATGAGATCTTCATGTTTTTGAGACTTAAGAAAAACATGACTTTGCTTTGTGTAAAGCTATTAAAGTTACAGTATATCTTTGATTAGTTGTTTTGAACAGAACATTGTCCAAGCAATAAATTAATGTGGAGTATGAATAAATCTCAAGAACACAGTAAATGCAAGGAATGGAATTCAATGTAATGGTCTGAAAAACATCCTGTGTTAGGTAAAGAATGCTTAAAGGTGCCTGACTGTCACACAGCAGTCATATTTGATCTACTGTAAGTAAAACAAAATTGCAGAACAAATTTGTTTAGAAACAGCTTTAATACTGTTATTTTTTAAAGTACAGAGATGCATCTCCAACCTACATTTCCTACTGAACCATTTTACCTATTGACATGTTTTAAAAAGGGTACCCCATTGGAGAGTCGATATCAGGTGGCGGATGGGTGCATCTCCCACTGAGATCACCATGAGCCTAAGTAAGTATGTGAAGAGACATCACACATGTGATTAATTCCTGGAAATGTCTTCACCTTACCCAGAGAATTTTGCATGCAATTTAAAAAAAAAGAAAGCTTGAGAAATACCTCTCATTAAGCTTTTTATACAGACAGAAAGAACAGTATGGATAATAAACCCGGAGTTGTAACCGAATTTCTACTACTGCATTCACAGCAGTGACATCAGAGCAAGTAAAAAAAAACAAGTTCACCTACACTGTATTCCCCCTCAAAGTGACTGTATACCTGTATCTGTATGAGATTACTCCTTCACTTAAAATCCGAGTTAGCAAGATTTAATCTAAGAATCATTGCTGGCATATTAAAGGAGCTATTTGAGCTATCTTGTCGTGTATCTTTGCACAAATGGGTGTTTGGTGATGCAGTTGATTTGATCAGTTGATTTGATTTTATCGATCAAAAGATAGAACAGGAACAAAGGTACAAAGGCAGTATTAAGTTACTTCTAATGTCTGAAAAGATGGTGGATACCACTGAAAGTTTCTCTTCTTAAACCATAAGCTTTTTTAGATGGGCAGAATGGTTCAATGGTTAACTACTAAGGGATTGTTAGGAAAAAAAACTGTTGCATTATTCACAGATTCACTGCAGTTCATTTACGTATTATTTGTAAATGTCATATTCAGAAGTACATAAGCAATAACATACAAAATTGAAAACATTACAAAGAAAATGCACTGCCATTTAATTGTGATAATGTTCAGATTTATTGCATGATTGTGAAACTCACAAATAAATAGAAACCTTTATACAATTCCAAGTCTGAGCCAAATATATAAAAAGTTCATTGTTCCAAATATAAAAATTATCCATTACACTGCAGAAAAATCAGCTCAGGATTAGTCTTTATGCTCTTCACTCTGAAAGACTAACATCATTGTACACTGGACTTATCAATTTCTCCACAGTATTCTACTCAATTTTATTTTCAGATATCTAGAAAACTTCAATTTAAGGCATTTTGTATCATACTTGCATAGTCCGACCTTTTATGAGAAGCGAAAGCACAGAGGATAAAAAGGGCTGTGGCACGACATTACAAAAAACAGTGTATCAGTCCATAACAGTTAGAAAAAGAAAAATATACACATTAAAATAAAAAGATAATGCTTTTGTCCACAGCAGTGGATTAGGGGGTATCCATTGTTGGCATTCAAACGGTTGTACAACTATTTACACCATTAATTACATTTTACATTCTTGTGGTACAACAACCATACTCTTCCCATATTGCATCCCATTGTGACTTCCAAAAATGCAATAATCTAAGACTGTTAAGCGCAACAAGCTAAAGTTTGCACTTGTGCCAGGTGTGCCACAATAACTTTAAAACCTTTTCACAATCATGTCATTTAAGAGTTGTATCACCGGGATACTACAGATTTTGATTAGGCAATGGGCACTTTTCACATAATATTATCGACTGTATATTGGATTCAATACTCATTTGTTGTGTTTGTAATAGTAAACAGTATAGTGATCATTCAAAAACAAAAATGGTCAAAGACTTCTTGAATCAAGGCTTGATTGAAATGATCTGGCTCTGTAAACCTATTACCAACTAGTTGCTGTAATTCAGATTATAGTTTACAAGTTTAAAAAGCAGCAGCCAAAACAAAATGTGATGTTAGCATACCACATTGGTTCAAGAAACCAGTTCAACTTGAAAATACACTTAATCTCCATATAATTATGTTTTACTCCATTTAATATAGTACTGTAGTAATGTAGCCAAAAGAAGAAAGCCTCAAAACAAAATGTTTATCAATGGCAGCAATCGGATTTTGGTGCAGAGAGAAAAAGCTTTATTTAGGCCCTTTGTGTACAATTCCCAACAAAGTCTGGAACTTGCTGGCAAATACTATTGGGCAATTCAATGCATTGCTGTTCCAATACAGAAATGTGCTTGGAAGAGTATTTATGTTTTGCGGTTGAAGGTTCTCTACAATTTACATCCAGTTTCTAATGATTATCAGTGCTTTCTCTGCCAAATGTCTTTTGTAAAAATCTGCACTGCATGTCTCAATTAGAATTTTACAATGCTTCAGAAACATGGATTCATTTTTCAGCAAGTCTCCGTGATAGCTAGAAGGCTAAAATAATAGCCCTATAATAAAGACAGGTGGTCTCCTAAACTAAAACAAAACCTCAAGTCTAAACAAGGATGCTCCATGTAGAAAAGATATACAGAAACCAGTATTCCAAGACAGAAGCAGCAGCTTCTTTGGACAAACCACTATTGGAGGAACAGGGAAGTTATTAAACTGAATCATGCAATGCCTGATGGTATGAAAGTCTACCTCATGCACCTGCCTAGATGTGCAAAATGTGCTCTACTGCTGTCATCTGTGGAAAAAGATGAGAATTTTGATCCTTTGCGACAACTGCTGAGCTAAGATATGCATCAATGGGTTTGATGCTGAACCATTCTTGTAAAAAAAAATTCCCTTTGTTTATGTTGAGGGGAAAAAAGTACAGAGTTAAAGTCATACGATGAAACAAATGCTAATGTTGTACTGGAAAAAAGCAATCTGTAACTGGTTTTCCAATTCCCTTTTGCCAAGCACAGGAATTGAGTTCAACAGCAACAGAAAAAAAAAAATCACAGAAGAATCATAAACTAAACTGTTTCTTTAAAAAAATTAGAGAAAAATCCATGTTTGTCAGAAGCTCAGTGTGTCTTTAGGCTCACTTATTTAAATAAGCGCAAGATTCATCCAAATTCTCCTCCAAAACGTCAGAAATGACTTGGGCTGCAGGACCAAGTTTTAAGTCTGTGCCCACAAGTCTGTCACTTGATAAAACAGACACAAAGAAGAAATATTTCAGGGACAGAAATTAAGATCTAAGAAGAGTATTTGTCCCAGTAGTTTATGCAAGAAACTCCTCCTGTTTTTGTGGTTTCTGGTAGCCCCCATTAGAATGTTTCTGTTCATCCAGAGCATAGCTTCCTTCATCCTTTTTCTTCATCCTGTACACCATTAAGGCTACAAGCAGTACAGCAAATGCAAGACCAATGATTCCACCAGCGATAACACCTGCAAAAAACAATATGAAACTCATTCTTAAATATACAAACTTCTAATACTTATACCCATGGCATTACTGTTTTCCTGCCTTTTCTGTAATTTGTTGGAAAATTATTAACATTTTAACCTAAAATACATTTTATGCCCATGTTAATTAAAAACACTTTGTAACCCAAGTTCGACTTAGCTAATTGTGTTAGGCAACATTACAACCTGCATATGCCAAATTATTTCTCAGCAGCAGTTTGCCCAGAATAACATTTTGTGCATACTATGTCTTATAATACAAGTACAGTATTTAGTATTCTTATCAAGGAGCAATTTGTAATGAACCATTTCTTTTTGTAATGTCTTATTGGGCGAATCTTCTGTTTTAGTCCAACTATCTCCCCAAAGTAAAAATCTACACGATTATGAAAATGTTAGTACAAAAAAACAATACTAGCTTTTCATTAAGTTTGTGGCACAATGATGTAAGAAACCTTTTCATGAATTTCATACTAAGAACATGTCTCCTCTTTTTTAGATCAAGATTCTAAGATGAAATGGGAAAGCAAAGGATCACCAATTAAAAACCTGCAATAAAACGGGTTTATTTTTACCTGCCAGCACCTCTTTGTTTTCCAGGAGTCCTTCACTTGCAGCCTGTTCTGATGTTTCAGAGTCTAAAGGACGCTCTTCCGCAAAGTATATGTCAGAATCAACCTTTAAGACAAAGTACAAAGCCATTTTACTTTTTCCATCCCAGACCAACATGAATTTCTATTTATTCGCATCTCTGCGACAAAGGAATTGTGCAGAGGCTTTACAACTGATGATTAAAAATATATTTAATGCATGCAAACGTACAGGAGAATAAAACTGAATTATATTAAAAAGGTGAGGAATACAGGCTAAATAACAAAGGAGCAAGCCAGAGCAGTAAAAAATAAAACTGACAATATGAATATATGGGATTTGCCAATTCAACTAAAAGCTATCTAAATGCTTCAAAGGTTCATTTTATAGGTGCTTCCTTGTAATTATTTAAAAAGGGCAAAACAGGTGCATTTGAACCTGAACTTCAGACAAATATTATTCTGTACCTTTTCTATGGGTTTTTCCGGTTTGATTGTGGCCAAAATGGAATGTATTTCCGTGTTGACCATTCTGGGATTCGGATGAATTTCATTCTCTGGAATTAGCTCGATGGAGGGCTGTGTGGTGTGAACGGGGATGGTGGAAGACAGGACCGAGTCTTCTCTGAAGGTCACATCTTCGGCTCCAGCAGTGGTAGGCGGCTGTGAAGGTGCAGCCACAGTGACGACGGAAGTCCCCTTCACGAAAGGATCAGCACTTTGATCATCGCTGGGGAGAGTGGCTGAAGAGCTGTGAGCTGCAGTAGTGGGCTCGAGGTCCTCAGAATGTGGGAAATCCATTTCAGCAGTAGTACTGCCACGAGGGGTGTCTGCAGCACTGGGCGCAGAGGTGGCCACATCTACAATAGGAGGGGAGGCGACATCCCGGGTTGTTGTTTCTGGTTTGGCAGAGGTGGGCTCCTGAACGGGGATCTGTGGCATCACCGTGGTATCAGGAGATGCTGTAGAGACGGGCATGGTTGTAACTTTGCTCGATGAAACAGGAGCCAATGATGTGGTCCTTTGTTCTTCAGCCTCGTGTAATTTCGGGGATTCAGTTGTTTTCAAGACTACGGGAGTTGCAGTGACATTCAAATGAAGCTCATCTTCAGAGGGAGTTGGGGTATCAAACACTGGGAATGGGAAAAAAAACTGTAAGGCTAAACAATAGTACAAATAGATATTTACATGGCATCTTATTATGTGTGAAATTACTTATTAAAATCAGATCATGGACAGATGTGCTCTTCCTAGTCTTGAATGATGTTTGTTAAATAAATTGTACCTTTATCTGTCTGACCTATCTGTTTGTCAGGACTGATGTTTAATATTGTTTTTCTAATTGTCTCTTCAGTGTACAAGCCTTTCTAAATACAAATTCACAAGTTTTTAATCTACTGTCATTTACTGATTATTGTGTTATTTACTGCCACATAAAAACTTTTAAACTACATGGTCAGAAAATGTTCAATAGTAGCAGATTATGGTTCCTCTTAGAAAAAACATGAATGGATCATTAACTTTTTAAATGCTATTCCCTAGGTATTTACACAGCCCTATTAATTGTACTGCCTACTATAGCCCAAAGCAATGACTCATCCTCTCCAAAGCTGCAGGAATGGGTCAGTAAGTTTCACATTCCACGAGAACTGACTGCACAATAACAGCTTATCCTTTCCTTAGCAAGCTCTACATAGTGAAAGATGAATGATGGAAGTAGCCTCTTCAGAGGAATGAATGTTGGTGGACATGCTGGTGGTCTACAAATGACAGCAACAGCGCACTTGGGTTATGCCTTAATTCAGACAGCTCTTAGGATTTACAGGAAGTGTAAAACTGCAGGCTGCAAGAAGAACAGTCACTCCCATATAATACAGAGGTATACGTTCTACATTTGGTTGAGGTAGAGGTGAACTAATCTGCTATTAGGGCTATTTGGTATTTGGACTATTTGGTAGTCTGTGAGGATAAAATTAATAAAATCCTGTTATGATAAAAGTCTCAATGACTCATAAAGAATATCCTACTTATCAGATGTAGTGCACAAATTGTGAAGGATCCAAATAAGAGAGTCTTGGATCAGAGCATGGAGTGTCTTGGATTGCTCTGTAAGAGCTGCCATTAAGAACCTCTGGCTCCTATTTACTGCTCTTTGTTTTTTTTAGATACAGTGAGGAAGGAATTTTTAAGGTCTTCACTAATCGCATCCTCCCCTTTGTCAATGCACGCAGACAAACCTTACCAGTGCCATCTCCAGAACCAGAGAAATCTTCATCATCTGATGACCCATCCAGGTCTTCAGGAGGAATTGAATTCTGGTGAATAATAATTTGACAATGATTGAGATAGGGCTCATATGGTAATCTTACAACACTTTCATCTTTAGTGACATGGGTGCATATCTTGTAATAAATGAAACATTTCCTCTAAAATACACACCATCATTTGCAAAATATCTTTTACCACAAACATTTTGACAATGTCCACAACCTGTACTGGTGCAAGCTGTCAGTCTAGGAACACATTTAAGGGGGTAACCAAACTATTAATAAATCACACCCCAGCTACATTTAAGGCAACTATACCTCAGGATGGCTTCAAGAATACTGTTGAAGTTTGGGAAAACAGACTTCTGTGTTTTGTAAAAACTACTTTATCCCCCCCCCCCCTTAATAAAATGCCTTTAAATCACTCATGGCCAATTCTGAGTGTTAAATTGACGTCATTAAAGAACAACAGTTTACAAATTCTGTATGTTTATTACAAAATTTAATCAAAAACATGCATAGAGTGGTACTTCTCTTGTCTGTATAGAGGTGTATACAGTACATTGTGTGCATTAGGGGTATAAAAGTGAAAGCAATATGGGTTACACAACTCTGAACATTCTCATCGCCACTCAGTTCAATTATAGCTTTATGTGTAAGTCTGCCAAAGTAGACCTAAACAGAACACATTAATGCACGGTGCAAGGAATGCTTTTTGTGCAGAAGACCTAAACAGAAAGGATACTGGATTTTCAACCCCACATAAATGTGAGAAACGTCTTTCAAAAAGAACACTAGAGTACACATTTCAGTTTCACTGTAGTGTTTTGTTAAAATCCCCAATGCACTATTACAGCTGAGGATGTTTACATTCAGGTACCTTATCTTCAAGATACTGGTCTCATATGGCATTCCCCTATAACTAATCTTTGGCCAAAAACCGAGCCCAAGAGAAAACTTGAAGAGATGCGAGATGGCAGGCATGGTCTGTGCAACAGTTCCCATGAGCTGCATGACTGCCTAAGCAAACTGCAATGCTTTTGAAATATTATGAAAACAAATCACTTGTAAGCAGTCTCCTTGTTTTAGTCTTCCCAGAACCAACTTTTTACCTCATTGACTTTTGTTTTTTAACCTGTTAATTTTTTGAAAGGAAAGTCTTTGTGCTTGCCATAATAAAACAGGAAATAAAATACTCATAATGATAATGATAATTTACAGCCTTCAGTATTGTTCTTGGAGCCCATCTGTTTCAGCAGCAGGTGAACAAAAGCAATCTGAGACTGTTGGTCTGATTGCTATAGTGGGGGGAAGCCAAGGATTCTCTTTGAATCGTGTGTTAAATCTGACTGGTGTCTGAAGAGCAAGGCTTGGGTTCTCTCCATTTTGTGTTTAGGGCACAAGGCGCTCTGTTATTTTCCTTGTTGCAGAGCCATGAGACATGTGAGGAGCCAGACTCTTGAGATGAATGGTTTCTGAACGCTTCTCAGGCTAGATCTCTGGACTGGAAGCCCTGAAAATCCTAGTAATCTATATCCCTCTTGGTACCTTTTACTACTTTGTAGTAGTTTGTGTACAAAGAAGGATCTCCTTAGAGTCATCCTTTTAAATGTTTGCGATTTTCTCAGCTCTTTGTCATACACAATGTACAAAAGAGTGACGTATTCAACAAAATGGATAAAAAAGGAGACTTGGCACCTGTCAAAAGGTTTGATGAAAGACATACTTGCACTATTGTCTAATCATTTATAAATGTTGTTATGACTTACATAATGTCCCAGTTTTTCTGCAAAGAAAATCTTTGTATTCATAAACATGGTTTTTAAAGATAAGCCAAAAACACATTTTCTTTAAGAACATAAGAGCGGGTAAAAATAAGAAAAATCCATTTGGTCCATCCAGCCTGTTTGGCTCCCATTTCTTAAAAGATGCCAGGGTATCGGCTTCAAAACAGGAGTGGATCGCTTTCTCCAGACTCAGGCAAATCTTTCCATGGATGTGCATTTAAAAGCAGGAACAGGGGGCACTTCTTCAAGCATACGTTCTCACTAGTGGCCTCTAATTTTTCCTTTCGCTACATTCTTAAGACGTCTGCTGGGTCGACTTTCGGTTCCGTTAAGGGTTTTGAAGACTTGAATCAGGTCCTCAGATGGTCTTCTCTGTTCAGGTTTAGTTTTTTTAGCTTGTTAACCTAGGCTATTCCTTTAAGCCCAGGAATGATTCCAGAGAAGCAATAACTTTATGGCTTTGATATCTCCGTGTAAATACACTGTACCCTATGAATGCCATCTGCCAGGTGTTTGTCTGTCTTGAATTCTGTCTACTTCCCCCCCCAAATTTCCTTTGCTGCATCTACAGTGGCCACAATCGTCTATAGTTCACTAACTATACAAGAATCTAGATATTTGAAATCAATTAAGAAATACAGTCATACTAATACGGATCCCCTTACTGAATATTCACCTCTTACCCATACTCAGTTTTCTATCCTTTAGCCAGTTCTCAATCCAGGAACGCATTTCCTTGAATGTCTATTGCATGCAATTTTGGCAAGTTATTATTTATGAGGTGCATAAACACACATTTTCTTTAAATCCCAATTATACCGCAATGCATGATGTTAATCCATTAATGTGTCTTCTTTTTTAAAGAATTCCAAAAGTTTAGTTAAGATCTACCTTTCTAAAACCATGTTGACCAACCTCTCGGATCTTAATCTCATGCAGATGCTCCTCTAGTTCAGCTTCCATAAACATGCATGTAATAGAAGATGTTTTGGTCTATAATTAGTTGGTTGAGATTTGTCACACTGTTTATGGTTGAAAACTACGTTCATTCTCCAGTAAGTGGGTATTACACCCATCTTGAGAGACTGTTGAAGTGGTTTGGTAATGGTTTATAAGTGTTTATTTAAGCTGAATACCATCTGGCCCAGAGGATATACCATTAGGCCCTGAAAATTCGCTTAAGTGCGTCTCATACCTGTAACATTTATTTCCTCTTTGGTAAATACCAGAGTGAAATAATTTAATACATCTGCCATTTCCCTTTAATTGTCTAAATCTTATGCCTTTCTAAACACTGTTAGTTTATTTGATTAAGTCGGAACACGCATTCCACCTATCTGACCACATACAAAATGGCTCAGAGACATTTCTCACATGACAGTTAAATCTGGAGGTCCTATCCCCATGCCAATTTGTCCGCCACAACAAGAAGCTCAGAATGAGTCTGAGCTTGAGCTTCTCCTTTATCATTTCACATCCTAATTTAAAAGGTATAAGTCTGCCTGAATTGGAAATCCTCAAACTAACATACAAGTCTTCCAAAAATGGCTTCTCTCATCCTCGAGATCACCTGCTGCTGCACATGCACAGCAGAGGCCACACTGAAGCCGAGAGGAAGAAGATAATTACGGTCTCGCTTACTTTAAAAAACACTCATCCAATAAAAAAACATTTTCAGCATCAGGTGACAGGGGAAGGGGCAGGGCATGGAGCCTGTATGAAGCCTGTGGATAGAAGGGAGACTGGAGGCAGAGGGTGTCTTTCCCTTAAAAAAAAAGTGACCTTAAAACAAAATCTTAAAAACCGTGACCTCTCCACCTCTCCCGGTGGTGACTGAATAACATCCACAAGCAGTGCACTATCCTGTCGGTGAGGAGCTGGCCTTGCCATTGAGTAACATTCACAATTTTCACTCTTAATAGGTTTTATACATTTTCACACATCTTTCACATTTTCTTAACTTTAAATTGCAAAGAGAAGTAGAACCTCCCCTTAAATGACCGCTGGTGTAGATACTCCTAAACACCCCCAGCTACAGTTTTACAATAGACTGTCCGGAGAAATGCAGTTAGCAGTTTTCCTCAGTGTCTTAAGCGTTCTCAGTGTTGGAGATGTAGGCTGCCTGGCTGGTTTTGCAGTGTTTTGCAAAACCTATCAAGGCACATAAGTGCATGCCCTCTTGGCACAATTCTAAAAGGAGACCAGCTCCCCCCAAGACCCTGTATTGGATGAAGTGGTTAAATGGATGGATAGACTATTAAATGCTGAGGCTCCTTAGCCTTTGTCTGCCACTGATCTAGAATACTCAACTCAACAGCAGCAGCTTTATCCTTGCTGGCAACAATCAACAGCCTTCTTTATTATCCTGGTGTATTACCTTTCAAGGTGTTTCAGGTTTAACAGCCAAACATAAAACAGAACAGCAGAAAGGTTTAGGGTTACTGCTGAAAGGCTGCTACAGCGTTCAACCTTAGACAAGTCCTTGGCGATTTGGGAACTGATATTAAATTTAAATTAATGCATGCACGACCAAGAGGATCTCTCTCTCGTGTAAAAAACATTCTGGCCTATTTAGTGCAAAGGTCATTGGGATTAGTTTCTGAAAAGTATTCAGGCTGAGACTATGGGCTGGTGCTGCAGCTCTTAACCAGCCTTGTGCGATTACATGTAGGTGTATCTCTATGCAATGTGATCTCTTTATTTGTATCAGCTTTTTTTCTAGGAGTAAAGGATAAAGGAATATCTTTTTAAAACAAATTCCAGAGAGAAATGTGCTTTTCTTCCAAGTCCTTTAAATCAGTCTGAAACAGAAAAAACAAGGACCATAGGATAAACAGCAAGAAAAGGTATTATCGGAAGAACTTTAACTGAGAAAGCTAAACCTGAAAGCTGAGCAATACATTTTTTTTTTACTTCGCTTTATCAGATGTCATGCTGAGACCTGAATATTAGCTGTGATGTGGTAATACCTTCCAAAACTCAGTGACATTATGCAACCAAGTCCCACCTCATCCTCAGGGGAGGGCTGTGAACTGATCAAAGATTCCATTGCACAAAGCGATTGATGGGGAATGAATAAGGGACAGGTACTGGCAAGTTGGCCATTAGTATGGGACTTAGGAAAATGGAAGCATAATTAGTAAAGCTTTAGAGAAAGACCATAGTATAGTTATTTGCTCATTTAAAATATGTTGAAAGATTAACATGTTCTACAGCAGAAAACTGGCAAGAATCTACAAGATAAATGCAAATGAGAGTCCA